GTTTTTTTTTTGTATTTGGGCCCCGTCAGAGTGTTGTTAGGGCCCAGTGCTGAAGGCTTCGTATGGAAAATGATGGAGTTCCAATATATATATATATATATTGACGATATATATATATATATATATATATATATATATATATACATACTAGGCTACTAGAGTGGCCCGGGGTCACTTGCCCGACCGGGCCAAAAAAATAAAAAATAAAAAATTATTTTTATTTTTTTATTTTTATGTAAATTTTGGTGAAGAATCTCGATGTGACCCTGAGGCAAAAGTTGTTCAGTTTATTTTTCTGCATAGCATAGTTATTTTTCGGAGTTTTTGATTTTTTTTTTCTTTTTTTGTTGGGACCTCCTTGCACGGGATAGCCACCCTGGACCCGGGCGGCCCGACAAGAATATATATATATATATATATATATATATATATATATATATATATATATATCGTCACAAACAGAACTGCTCGGTAAACCGCTGGCAGAGAGAGAGAAGAGGACAACAAACGACGGACTGTGACAAAATGTTTCGTCGGAGTTTCATGGACCTATCAGGAGGCTGAACTGAAGCATGGAAACGGGGCCGACGTACGTAAGAAAGAAAAAATAAACAAAAAAAAGCACGACAACACTGATGACGGGACATATATACGTTTCGAAACCGGGGAAAAAAATAAGACAAAATGACACAAACGAAAAAAATAAAATAGTTGAGGAAGAAAACAATAAAGAAACTGAACAGAAAATACAACATATGTTCAAATTGGTTGACGCATTGGCAGGGTACCAGCAGGAATACGGATGGTTCCATAATAAAACATTAAAAAAAAAAAAAAAAAAAAAAAAAAGAGGAGCTCCAAGAAATCCCCGAAAGCCAACATGTTATGCAGAAAAATTAACAGAACAACTTTCGTCTCACGGTGACATCGAAATTCCTCACCAAGTTTAGAATAAATATTATAATATAGAAAAGAACTTTTTACCTTTATTATTATTATTTTTTTTTTTTGCCCGCCCGGCGAATTCAACCCGGGCCTCTCTCGTAGCCTAGGCACATGGGCATTTCGTTCA